GTTTAAAAATGATTAAAAACTAAACAGCCTACAATATTTTTATAGTCCTTATTTTACAGTTAAAATATGTTTATTAAATAAAGTCTAATGTTACAACTAATCAGGGATCCGTTTAACAAATTTTAGCTCCATATCTGTACATTTAAYTGAGCTGCAGCCGTTTGTGTTTGTGTCAAATTAATCCGTCCAGTGGTTCATGAGATATTTTGCTAACAGACAAACACAAGCAAGTGATAAACATAGAGGAGCAGGTGGGAACTAAACGGTGAAGCAGAACCTCCTGAAACTCAGAGTCAGTTATTGGATCAGGCTGACAGGTTCCCCCTCTAACCCTCAGTCTGAGCAGAACCGTCCTCCTGGTTCTGTTCTGTCTGAGCTCAGCTGCTGGTTCCTCTGCAGGCTCATCAGAACATCATCAGTAACAGAGCCTGGAGTTAACCCTTTAACGCTGTGACATCCTTACAGATGTGCTGAAGGCTTCCGTGTGGTTCAGAGCGGGACGGACCGATCCGATACCGTCTGTGGTGAGTTGTGAGTGGGTGGAAGAGACGGTGTTTGTGGTTTGGTGAGAGCGTTTGTTCAGAGTGAAACTACCTGTTGGTTTGTGGTTTGGAGTGTTAGCTGAGCACTTTTCATCTCTACGTCTGTGTGGAAGACTGTAATCAATCTGTTCTTTTCAACTGAAACAAAGGGTTTCTGGTTTTTCTTTAGTCTGAAGCAGACGTCAGTGAAATGAGGACGGTGTGTGTTTGTGTGTGTGTGTGTGAGGTCTTTTTACATGTGTGTTCTTTTGTTTTGCAGAAGACAACAGACGGGATCATGTAATTACTGGTGTCATGGTTGCAGTCCTTGTTGTGAGCATTGCTGTTGGAATTGGGTTGTATATGTACTCAAGTACGTTGTGTTTAAATATTCCCAACATGTTGAGAAGAGTCAGTCACACCAGGATCCTAACGTTGTCTCTTTGCTTTGTCTCCTCAGAAAAATCCACATATCGAGTTGAAAAACCGAATAAAAATGTGAGTTTCTACTGTTTTATTACACGACTAAGACATGAATGTGTTTATATGTAAACATCATTTATAAAAGTGGCCAGCAGTGATTTACAGGACAGGTACAGGGTTTAAAGATATTTTAGAAAAACCCAAATACACAGTAAATTTAAAGCAGTTTTACATTTAGTGTTTCAGCAGTTTTATTTTTATTTATTAGCAAAAGTGTAATGCAAGTTCAATTTGAAAAGCTGAAGGAAACAAAAAAAGCCTAACTTTGCAGAAAAACATTTAAAAGGAGCAAAAATATAGTTGAAAAAGCACAAGAAGCTAAAAGATAAAAGCTGAAATAGCTGAATATAGAAGAAAACAACTGTAAAAAGCATAAATTGCACAAAGTACCAGAAAAAAGCACAACAAAATAGAATAAAGCAGAATATTAGCAGAAAAAGGCATATGTAGCTAAAAAGGCAGAAAAACAGCTAAAATTGGCATTAAAAAGCTAAATGCAGTAGCCACAAGTTGAAGTTAGTACCCAGATAATAAAAGTGTTGTAAAAAATGTAAAATTATCAGAAAAAAATGCACAAAAGTACAAAAAGTGATAATTTGTAGTAAAATAGATTTTTTTTCAGTAAAACAGATAAAAAATATTTGGAAATTCTTTAATTAGCATAAGAAGCAGAAGTTTGCTGAACTTAGCAGAAATAAGTTGTAATGGCTTCAAAAAAGCTTCAGTTGGTAGAGCTGATGCCTCTCAGCATGAAGGTTGCAGGATCAAATCCCAGCTGGGGACCTTTCTGGGTAGAGATTGCATGTTTTCTCTGTGCATGGGTGGGTTTTCTCCGTGTACTCTGGCTTCCTCCCACAGACCAAAAACATGATTGTTAGGTTACCTGACAACTCTAAATTGTCCCTAGATGTGAGTGAGAGAGTGAATGTTTGTTTGTCTCTGTGGCTACGTTCACTCTGCAGGAAAACRCCACCCAAATCTGATTTTTTTATGACAGTTTGAAGGCGACAAATCTGATTTTTTTTTTTCAAAATTTGACCCAGGCCRTTTCAGTATGTGGTTTTAAATCTGATACATATCTGATGTTTTCAAAGTGACTGCAGTGTGAACGCTCATGTCACAAACCGTGTTTCCATCAAGGCTTTTTGATGGACATGTAGAAGTGTCGCATTAAAAATGCAAAAAAAAAGTCAGATGGAAACAGCAAAATTCGAAAAAAAATCCTCAATTCGCTAAAAAGTTTTTACGCTCGTTTGAGGTGGTTTTTGGATGATTCGCAAAGTAGTTAATGCGATCTTGAAGCGATCTTACCTCTAACTCCTTCATGACTCCGAGCGAGATAGTAACAGATCCAAGCAGCGACATGATGTGAAAAAAAGGCAGTCCTGCAGCTAAGTAATAACAAATTAATGATATTAATGTGCGAMCGGACCGCTCCTGGAACAACAACAAACACATGGTCGTCTGTAATGGCTGCCGTCTACCGGTGTTCTGTAAAAGTTGGTCTACCTGAGAAAAGTTTCCCCACCAGAGGGGGCGCTGTTGAGACACAGAGCATGAGATTGTTGTTTAGTGGGATTCTGATGCCTTTATTAGAGGAGGAATACAGAAACTTTTAATGATGCTGATGATGGTGAGCCTGATTCTGAAGGCTTTGATTCAGCTT